CAATGTTCTTACAAGGTTTCTAAGAGAATTAAACGTGTAAGAAAAGTGGATACTTGATCATACAGCAGCATCCAAACAGCCCAAACCTGGAAGCAGAGTTTTATCATAGATGTGTGAATCACTCTACCCTCCAGGTTCTGCTCAGGTGTCAAATACACAACTGATGGGTTGTGGCAACATAAATTATTAGACTATTATCAAACTGGTCCCCCTTGTGTTATCAATAAAAAGGCTCTGATTGTGTGCTGGTGGTTCTAGTGTGTGTGTGGGAAGTCTCAAAGTAAAATATCAGTTTAACATTAGACTGTAGATGAGTCCTGTACCGTTAGAGTCCGTGTTCATTAAGCTCAACATTAAAATACTACAAACATTCATTACACTCAAAAATCAGGATGATTCTGGTGATTTATAAAACAAATATAATTGCTTTTTCATTTGTTAATCTACTGCACAGTTATGGTTGGTTGCACGTATGCTGAAAAGGCCATTCACAAACACAAAGGTTAAAGGTTAGGAAATGTCCAGGGTGAAAAATGTAACGCTTAAGCTCGTCAGGGACCGCTGACATTTCCTAGAGAAAAGTCAGGACTGCAGGAGGTGCACGCTTCCTCCAGCTGCTTTTGGACCAAACACCATTTGTTTATGATTTTTAGCTACAGCTGCACGAGCTCACTCTGATTTTAATGTTAGACTGTCAAGGGGAAATTTTAGACTCTCTGAAAGTTGTTTATATTTTTTAATTTGTTAATTTTTAAAAGTATTTTATAGAAGTGTCAATGTCAGAACACCAGGGGGCGGTGTTTGGGTTAGTCTACTGAAATCATGGTAAAAGGAAAAGTGTAAAAGCATGTCTTGAAAAGTAAAGGCATGTCTTTTATTTTAGTGTTATTTACATTTTTCTATAAGAGTTTCTAATATTTTAGTTTTTTCTTCCCTGTGGCCCGGCCAGTAGAAGAACTCTGCAGAGGTCTGTTTGACCCCACTGAGCAAAGGGTGTTGTTGTTCTTTTGCTCCGTTGGTTTCACACATTGACCATGACTGTCTGACCCTCGGCTCCTCGGGGCATTCCAGCCAACAGCTCAACCAACACGTGTTGGAAAACCACAAAAAAAGCCTTTTGGATGCAAAGAAAAACAACAAACGTTTCTGATTTCCTTGAAAGAAACCACCAAAAACCACAAATTAGAAATGTAAAGCATCCTGCTGCTTCACAAATGGAAAAGCAGGAATATTAAACCTTCTCACATTAGAGAACCTAAAAAAAACATGTTTCTTCTCCTCTCTGTCATTAAACTTAGCAGAATATTAGAAAATGCAGTCCCAAAGTAGATCTGCAACTTTGCTTTAAGAGAGAAGATTTGTGGGCCTATATAAGTCTGAATTACCCACCCCCACCCCCACCTTTGCAATGAGACTCCTCCACCCCTCTGTTGTTAGTGAGGGCCCACATGGAAGCAATTACGCTGTGTGGAGAGTGAAATTACAGATACCTACAGAACTGGAGCCTAACCACTCTGTCATCCGCTTAGTTTTATTCAAATATAAACAAGCGGCACACGGTGAACGGTAAAAGAGAAATAAGTCAAATAGAGAAACTTCTGATGAAACAAAGGGAGAGGGACAGACATAATCTTGGAATGTCACTTTTCCTAGAGATGTAATTTTCTCCAGCTGGCGTCAGGAGGACGGCTGTATTCCTCACTCCTAATCATCCGACTTTTGGACTGGAGCGAGGAAGAGCTGTGGCGGAAGACTTCTTAGGAAGAGCTGCAGAGGGGGCCTCTAGTTACCGCGGCTCACCAGAGAGAAGCCAACTCAATAAATCCTGATGGAAGCCTTAGGCCAGGGCTCTCCACTGCAGCCCTTGGAGGGATTCTGTGCAGCTTTTATAGGGCGAATTTTTACAAATACAACAAAAGGCATTATTATAAAGAATCCCAACAAGCAAATGGAAAATGAAAAAGGATGACATCAGAATGTTGTGGTAAAAAGACCCAAATGCAGCAGGCATGAGCTCTTATCTCACCAGGCTACATTAGACAGAGCAGAGTTTACAGTATTGACTGGGATCTAAGCTATGAGGAAACAATTCCTCTAGAAATGATGCAGAAATGACCTGCCCAGCAAAAACAACACTGCTCTACCACCCTCACTCTGAGAAGACCCAGGTGCACCCTCTGAGGACGTCCTCGTTAAAGTCAGGACAGCGAATGTCATTCTCTGTGAAAATTTCTTCTGAAATATATAAATTCACAAGAAACCACAGGAAAACGTCATTAAGCTGATTTTCACCAAGAAAATGAAACCATTTGAAATCTCGGTGCGTTGTGAGTTGAGTGAAAGCAACAGTAAAACTGTCCTTGCTCATTATGGTGTTGTTCCCTCATGCGCACCGTCACTACAGTCACGGATGTGTCCACACTGTGGTGGCTGGATGAGCGTCAACCATTCCTTCCTCCCCACACACGCCTCCCAATTAAAGCTATTATCATCCCAGATGTGCTGTGGACCCCCCCCCCCCCCCCCCCTCTCACACACACACACACACTCCTTCAGTTATCTGTCATGCAGCTGTTGACACCTCTCTGGCACCCCTCCACTGTCTGACCCCACCTTGAGGGACGGGCGACAGAACAAACTCCACTCGGGCCGAGCTCTCCTCCAGAGTGTGCTAGCAGTGTTGGCCTGTGTGGTCTTGGGGCCGTTTGAGTTATGAGGTATGAAAACGAGCCGTAAAGCTGTGAAAGTTATAGAGCTGGATCTTTCTCTGCTGTTTCTCCTGGGGTTGGATCTGCTACAAACATTGTATGTGAACGATCCACATTTTCAGAGGAGGATTTGGTGTTACAATGGAAATGGATTTGTTTTTGATCCAATACGTGTTTTGTTTTTTTAACAGTTCCAGTGCTGTTAAAGTTAGAGGCTGACGGTCTACAAACAAAGATGGTTCTGATGAGTAAATAAAGCAGGGGTCACCAACCTGGTGCCCCCAGGACCACATGGGGCCCTCAGATCATTTATCCAAATAGCACAACTCTAACATGAATACAAAATTTATAAAATCGGCTGCCATTTTTGAATCACAAATGCATTCATATACATTTTAAAACAGCACATTTATTTAAAAAGCATAAAAATGTGTTTATTATGCATGAAGTTTAGTTTAACTCTGATCTGTTCTTTAAAGTCGTTGTTTCAATCCAGTAGCCCTTCGTAGGGCTCAGTCCCCATGAAGGACTCCACAAAGGTTGGTGACCCCCGGCTTAAAGCTTCAGTTTTCACCAGTTCCCTGTGATCCTGGGATGGCAGGGAAATCACTCGGTGGAGAAAAACTGGAATTCCTGTTGAGATTCCCAGAACCGCGACAGACTGACATCCTTGAGCGTCTACATGGCTCATCTATGGTTAGAATAATATGTGACTGTAACTGATTCAGCCCTGCTTGTGAGAGTGAATTCTTTCTGGGGAAAGAGCCTAGATTTGATTAGAAACAGGCTCCATGTTTGGAACCTTTTCTCAACCATTATTAGAATTTGCTATTTTAGTTTCTTTGATTTGAGACTATGTAGGGCACGTGTGTGTGAAGACTGCCCTCGGTAAAGTAAGAAAAACGTGTTCATGACATGAAGCCCTTGTGCACTGAGCTGCAGCCGCATGGCAAATTTAAAATGCAAAATCAACAGCATGAGAACTTGGCAACAACTTTGAAGCGATCGTTTTCTGCTCTCATCGTTTGCATCCTGCAGCAGATTCGTAATAGCAGCTTCATATTCTCCAAAAAAAAACTTTCCTCAAAGTTTACATAACAGAAAACGCTCAAATAGGATACATATTCTGATTTGTTTCTTCCCTTTCTAGTTTCTTTGTATTTAATGGAGGAAAGACAGAAAGTAACCTAATAAAACAGTTTTCCATTCTGTTCTCCAAACCCCTCCTCTCTAAACCCAGAAACAGGCCGAGCACCCCACCCACAGACCTCTTCCCTTCATGAGCTGACACTCCATTCGCTTCTCTGCTTCGCTGCAAAGCCAAACAAGCCAGCCATTAAGCGGAGTTAAGCGCAGGAAGTGGGCCTTCGGGCCAGGCAGTACAATTTACAAGGAGCCAGTCAGGTTTCAGCGGTGCTTTGAAGTGTGCAGCGCACAGGAGACTGTCTGTCACTGAGGTGAAGGCCCAGCACCTCTCCACTGACTCACTCACATTCTCCTCATTCATCTGAGTGAAATCAGGGAGGACGGCTGAGGTGTTGTGAAAGAGTACAAGAGGAACGCTACGGGAAGATTTATGCTTTTTTCCCCTTCTGACTATCTGTTTCTACCTTTTAATCACTCCAACCTGACTCCTATAAGCCATCATTACTCAGCCCGGCGTTAGGATGTAGCCAAACAGCAACAGATCGTCAGACCAATTACAGCTGAGCTCATTTTATGTGTTTTTAAAAGTTAGTGTCAGAAAACCTGAGAGATTCGGCCTAGAATACGCGGAGTAGCACAATTGCATCTTATCATTTGATCTCCAACGCTCCTGCGTTGTGGTATGCGAGCGTCAGTCTCAGATTCCTGCTCCTTGCTCCGAGCTGCTTTGAGGTATTAGGATCGGTTTTCCTCAGCACAGCCATGTTCTTCGTGACCTCACGGGCAGAGAAGGCTGAGTTTCAGCGGTGCGTGACTCTGGGAATTCCAAATCGGCACAAAGCAGGAGAGCTCCAGCAAAACCAAAGACGCCTTCACCAGAACGAGGCTCGGCCATCTTCACAACCACGCCAAAAGATGTCGCTTACGCAAACCTTTCTCCATCAATGAGATTTTTGGGTTGACAACGCAGTCGCTAACCGTTAAAAATCACAACGTTTTAGCTGTTTGATACCTGCATGAGATGCACAAGTTCTGGTCATGAAACACAGATAAATTAGTAATGTCCTGAAACATAAATGATTCTACTGCTGACATTAGAGCGTAACTCTGCACCCTTACAGGGCATAAATAAAAATGTAGATGCAATAAAGGTACAAAACATGTTTAATATGAATACACATTTAAAGTTAGACATTTTTACAACAGAATCTATTTACAGTTTTATCACAATTTACATGACATTTTTACAAGAAGAGAGAGAGGATTTGCTTGCCGTCTCATTGGTTGTTGGCTCTTTTTTTGGAGTTTATGGGAAAGTTGCGGATCTGCAGAAGAATACTTGAGCTGTGGTTTAGTGATTGAGTCAAATCAGGTCCACGTTTATCCAGCTCGTCTCATTCCGAAGTTGCATAATGTGACTATAAAGGCGAGGTAAACACAACCATCTTAAAAAAAAACAAGTTCCGGCTATACCCTCTCACATTTCAGATAAGTGACATAAATGAACTGCATTTTATAAATGTCCTTTTATTCTACACAGTGGTCTCACCGTGCTGGCCCTGTGTCAGCTTTGTGTAGAATTTATGCCAAGACTGCAGAGTCTTTCCAGACCAGATCCAGAAACCAGATGTGATGCCTACAATCAGCGTCATCAGGTACTTTATCATGAAGACGGTGAAGTCCGGGGTCATGCGGAAGCCGGGCTGCAGAGGGCAGGGGATGCCTAGGCCCCTGCAGTTCTGGCTAACCCAGCTGCGTTCCCAGTGGGGGCGGAAGGCCTGTTCATAGAAGAAGCACGCTATAACAATAGTGGCAGGGACGGTGTACAGCACGCTGAACACTCCAATTCGCACCATCAGCCGCTCCAGCTTCTCTGTCTTGGTGCCGTCGTGCTTCATGATAGTGCGGATTCGGAACAGTGACACAAAACCAGCCAGTAAGAAAGATGTGCCGGTGAAAAGGTAAATGAAGAGAGGGGCCAGCACAAAGCCCCGGAGAGGGTCCAGGTTGCTGACAAAGCACACCCCACTGAGCACATCCCCTTCAATCTGCCCAATGGCCAGGATGCTGATCGTCTTCACGGCCGGCACCGCCCAGGCGGCCAGGTGGAAATACTGAGAGTGAGCTTCGATGGCTTCATGCCCCCACTTCATACCTGCTGCCAGGAACCAGGTGAGGGAGAGAATGACCCACCAGATGGAGCTGGCCATGCTGAAAAAGTACAGCATCATGAAGAGGATGGTGCAACCTTCTTTTTTGGTGCCTTGGATGATGGTTTTATATCCATCAGGGTTGAAACTCTCATTGCACACCACTCTATCCCCTAGAAAATAGCCAGCTATGTAGGCTACGGAGACCATCGTGTAGCAGCCAGACAGGAAGATGATGGGCCGCTCAGGGTACCTGAAGCGTTGCATGTCAACCAAATAGGTGGTCACTGTGAATAATGTAGAAGTACAACAAAGCACAGACCACACCAGGATCCACAGGCGGGAGAACTGAATCTCTTTGTTGCTGAAGAACATGTTCCCACCACTCTTTGTGGTCTCACATGGGGCTGCGCAGTCCTTCTCCTCCAAAAACTTATAATTCAGATATGGTGGGACTTTGAGAACGGATGGGCAACGGAATGGTCTTTCAAATGGGGACAGCTCGGGGATGTCCTCTGCGGGTACCTTGATGGGGGGTGCAGTGGCAGATGAAGACTGGTTTTGGCCCACGCAGAGCTGTCCGTGTCCCAGCACGGGGAAGTTCTCGCAGCGCAGTCGCTCCGGCCACTGAAACCCAAACTTGTTCATGAGCGCCTCGCAGCCCTGCTTTGCGCTCTCACAAATGGACCTGCAGGGGGGGATAGCTTTTTCCAGGACGGTGCACACAGGCGCATACATGGAGCACAGGAAAAACTTCAGCTCCGGGGAGCACTGTACCTTCACAAGAGGGTAAAACTGGTGAACTTCAAGCCCAGCGTCCTCCTGGTTATAGTGACCCACTAAGTTGGGCATGATGGTTTGGTTGTAGGCGATGTCCGTGCACAAAGGAATGGAAATCGGCTGACAGAATCCATGCTCCGGGATTAAGATCCCATTGTCTCCTTCGTGCTGCGCTGATAACATCAGAGGCAGCAGGATCGCAAGAAAACACACCTTCAAAGTCATCGTTTCAGGTTTAACGAACTTGCAGTAACTCACAGAGTCGTGTAAAACAATTCCTCAGCGGCAGACAGTAGAATCAGGAGGGGATCCGAAAGTTCCTTTAAACTCAGAAAGTCTCCTGGTGGCTGCCTAACTTTTTTCTCTCCCCTTTTTCCATTCCTCCTGGCGTCACACCGACCAGCGTCAAGGCGGACTAGTTAGAAAGTAGCTGCGCCTTGCTGTCGAAGATTTCAAAATAAAGTCACAACAGTTCAACACAACAACTACTTTAAACAGATACACAAGACGTATGCAAATATTTACATATGTTAATTCACATTAAAACGTTTAGTGTTTAATCTTGTATTTTAATTTACACAATACATGCTCTAGGAAGATAGTTGTGTGATGCGTGCTTTAATTTTGAACAGAATACTTCCGGTACGTTTCTTGCCTTTTAGCAAAACTTCAGTCCGCGCTGTGTTTTCAAGGCCGACTCTTTCATGGTGACTGTTATGATTATAGGAGTCTCTTATCGCACTTTTATGTGTTTTTTTTTCCAATCAGATGAGTCAGAACCTGGAAGACCGTGTTTGCACTACACAAAATCCAATAAAATAGACAGGAACATAAGAAAATACCTTACAAATAACCATATTATTTTATTTGAATGAGCAACATTGTTCAGATATGCTTGTGTCATTTCTCGTTTATTTGACTCTGTGTAGGAAATGTGCTATAAAAATAGCTGCCTTATTTATATTTTAATGAGTGAGAAAAAAGTTTATACGTCACACTGTTTGGAGGTAAATATGGGCAAATTAAAATTTAACAAAGAACTTTATATGCAAATTTAAGTGAATATTCTTTATTTCCAGCCTGGAAATTCCAGGATAAACTGCTGGTATCTGCAGGTGGGCACAAGGCAGGTTTTGGGCAGGACCACCTGCCTTCGGACCTGGGGGTGGGGGGCGGTGTTGGGGTTGAGGGCATTTGTTGCTATGCTTTTGGAGATTCTGCTTTATGCCAATTGGACCAAAACGAAGTCGTGTCTCCTCTCAGCCAATGGGCACTCTGGTCACGAGGGCCTTTTCTCAGAAAAAGAGAGACGGGCAGAAATGCTCGCGACGCAAGGATAATTGTCTGACGTTAAAACAGTTAAGTTTAAAATGTTCGTGTTTCCTCTCGTGAAAGGTAATCCAAATGAATTTTCGTGTATTTTATGTTTTTATTTCCCAAATAACTCGATCTAAACCAACATGCGCTGTTTGCAGCATCAATTTTAACTTACGGATGCTAGCTAAAGCTACTAGCTTAGTAAATATGACACAAAATATGTAAAAGCCAGTAATGTTATAAATGTTTTACGTATATTCCCCAATTCTCTTTTAGCTGTTAACTTAATCCACTGTAGTTGTAAGATATTAACCATTAACGCTTTCCGTTTTGCTAGTCCAATAATGAAGCACTAAAGATTGGTCCAGAGCTCAAAATGGACGGACACCAGAGCAGATCAGTGACTTCGCTGCAGCAGACACGTCAACGCCAGGTAAATTATACTTTCCTTTGTTGCGTTTTTTAAAGTAAGAAGTCATATTTCTTGCTTTTAATGATAAACACCAGGGGGATAATACATTGCGCTTTCAAGACAAAACTGAGATCAAACGATGAGATTTTAATATTCTTGAGGAAACACGAAAAAATACAGCAACTTTCTCATTTGATTCATTTTTATAAGTCTGATGAATCCTAATCTATCCATAAGACTTATCAGCTTTGTGACTTTCCAAATGATCGTTTTAGAAACATGAAAAAGAAAACCTAAATTAGCCAGATTTTCTCGGGAACTATTTTCTCAGGAACTATTTCAGAGCTGATAAATGGTTTAAATGTGCTTTTCTAGTAATATAAGTTTGGCTAAATTTCTGGCAGTCAGAGAGATCGGTCTCTTATAGCTGTACAGACACGCTTGCTTAGTAGCAAGGTTGGAAATGTAGGCTGCTGAATCAAACCGGGCTGTGGAGCTTCTGTGATTCTCCTAGCATGATGATCGCTACTGTTGTTGAGGCATCTTCAATGTTAATTTGAAGTCATTCTAACTGGAAACAGTTGAGACAGCGATCGACTTGATAAGAAATCTTCTTTTGCTTTAATATTGTAAGATAACTGCTTGATATTAAGTTTACCAATATAGTTCAACATTGGGGTGAACGTTGAAAATCAAAAACAATTTAAAAAGAAACCCTAAAACCAGATAAAACAAGAAAGCACCATTTGTTACAAATCCTGGTGGGATTTTTCAGAGAAACCGCCAAACAGTTCCCGAGCACAGCCACTGCTGCAGCTCACCACTCCCCACGGGGATGGGTCATGCGGAGATGAATTTCACCAGTGTGTGATGAATAATGGGACTTTAACTTAAATAAACTTTTAATTAAACTCTGAAGAAGTTAGTGTTCTGGTGAATATTAATTGAATATTGATTTTTATTTAATAAAAGTACTAGAAATTATATTAGGTCAATTTTTTAAACTGTCACTACCATGTTACAAAAACAGTCTGTTATTGAGGTTTCATGTGTATAGCAGATGTAGTCTTATGTATTTTGCTTTTCTTCCTTTTTTGTTGACATATGTCTTACGTATGGGGAAAAAAAAGTATTTTTGGCTTCAGGTGATGTACGCATTTGTCAGATTTGTCTTACTTCCTTTCTTTAGACGGGTGTTAGTGGTGTAGGCAGTGGTCGAATGCCAGCGTCCTTTGCTCCAATGGCTCCACGTCCAGGACAGGACAGCACATCCTACAGGTCCTGGTTTTCTAGTTCCCAAGCTGAACCAAGTCAACTCAGTTTCCCTAAAAACAGGTATTGTTATTAACTGTTCTGACATGTTCAAACAGATTATACTAGAGAATGTTTGTGTGTGTTTTCATCGATGAAAGAAAAACCCACAATGGTCACAGAAATAATCTGAATCTGACAAACAATAATAATAAGAAGAAACATTCTCTGAAATTTAACCAGTGAAAGTCTGACATTGCTTTCCAACTATGCTTCAATGGAATTATTTAAAGAAATAAACTCATGGAACACGCCTGGACAAAAATGATGGTTCCTCTGGAAAAGACTGAAAACAATGTGACCAAAGGGACATGTTAATTAACGGGGTGTTCACTAATTAGGTCACAGGTGTCTACAATCTTGTAATTAGTATACAGGATCCAGGTAGTCACTGTGTTGTTTGGTGACATGGTGTGTAACAAAATTCAACGTGGACCAGAGGAAGTGAAGGACAGAGTTGTCTCAGGAGATTAGAAACAAAATGATAGAAATTCATGTTAAAAGTAAAGACTATAAAACCATCTCCAAGCAGCCAGATGTGACTATAGTTGCAGAAATTTCAGATCAATGGGACTATAGCTAACTTTCCTGGGCGTGGCCGCAGGAAGAAAATTGATGACAAACGAAAGAGACAGATAATCAAAATGGTAACAAAAGAGCGCAGAAAAACTTCCAAGGAGATCCAAGTTGAACTTCAAGCTCAAGGAACATCAGTGTCAGGTTGCACCATCGGTCGTTGTTCGAGCCAAAGTGGACTACATATGAGGTGACCAAGGAGGACACCATTGTTGAAGACAAATCCTAAAAAGCCAGACTGGAATATGCCAAACTACATGTTGACAAGATACAAAGCTTCTAGGAGAATGTCCTATGGACAGATGAGAGAAAAGTTAGACGTTTTGCCAAGACATATCAGCTCTATAATCACAGATGGAAAAATGAAGCATATCAATAAAAGAACTCTCTAGTGTGTGTGTGTGTGTGTGTGAGAGAGAGAGAGAGAAACACCCACCCCCTCGGCAGATGGCACTTAATTAGGATTGCTAGCAAACACCTGAGTTAGCTTCACTCTGCTCCTTCTGCCGATTCTGCCTTTCCCAGAATCCACTGTTAGCCTTTTCTTGTTCATTTTCTTTTTCCATTCACTCACATCCTTTGGTCACAATTTTTGCTTTTCCCGTTTTTTATTATAGTTTTTTTTAGTCATTTTTAAATGTTTTTATTTTTTTTATTTTGATTAACTTGTTCTTGAGTTAAGTGTTTGTTTATTTATTGCAAGTCAGATCGTCATCACAATATCAATCACTGTTACTGGGCATCGCAGGTTTTTCTAATATGGTGCACCTCTAGTATAGTCATACAAATTTCATTGAAACGTGTTTAAATATACAATATCATATATCATGGAAGTTTATCTTTGCCATCTCTACATGTTTCCTATCGAAAGTTTTTAATGGAAAAGTAAGTTGAATGAGCCAAAAGATTGTGATGAAGTAAAATAAAAAATTAAAGCAGAATGTGGTTTTGAGATGATTTTTTTTTATTTTTTATTTTAATCCAAGTAAATCTATTGACGAAGCTGACTGTGATGGAGAGGCAGATCTGCAGGGTCTAGTTTCAAATATTTTGGATGAAGCAGATTCACAGGATAGCTTCTACAGTGGGAGGTACGTTATTTCCTCTATATGGGTTCTGCAGCATGGGTTAATTCACAGCTGGACCCGAACAGCTGAAAACAAGTTGGTTTCATAAACACTGATATTAACTGATGTACTTATTTTCTCTTCAAAGCCTACCTACGCGTAATCCCATCTGGTCTCCAAAGGCACTGAATGAAGAACTGCTGCAATATTTACAGTGGGAGGCAAAGACTCCCAATAACTCTTCCTTTCCTTCAAACCATCTGTCACACAAGGCTTTCAGCAATGTACAGCTACAGTCGGTGCTCAAAAATGGTGATGGGCTGAGTCAGCAGTCCAGTGGCCTTGGTGGCAATAAACAATGTTTTAGTTTGCCAAATGGAGACAATTATTCCTTGCATTCTCAAAAACCACCGCCAGGTCTACCACTGCCCCAGACACATAACACCAAACCATCACATATGCACCAAATGACTGACATCAACATGTCACCTTGCAACGACAGAAGAAACAATCAGCCTTTGAATAATTTCCCAGAACTTAGTAGCATTTTTCATCACCAAAATGAAATCAACAACTCCTGCTTTGATGCGCATCATGGAGATCACTACACTCAGAGCAGTGTAAATTCATTCTGGAATGAAAATTGTGTACCAGAAGACCCGAACCAACTGGTCAGCAGTTTTCAGTCGTTCATACCATCTGAGCATAATGGCACTTGTCATGATGACTTTCCAAACATTCACAAGCAGACAGTGGGCTTGCACAAAGACGGATTGCCTGAACAGTGGAAAACCTCCAGTCCTGCAATGTCAATGTTAAGTTTTCCTGCAATGCAAAGTCTGAAACAACTGTTTGGAGACGTTGGGTCAGTGCAAAGGGGAAGAGCTGAAGAAGCAAGGAAACAAAACCATCATGCCTGTCGAGGTCCTCTTGATTTCAGCCCTCAGCATGTAGAGTACTTTCAGAAGTCAAAGGCACTTTCTGCGCATTTCAACTTCCCAAACCAACACCAAAACGGGAGGAGCATTCCCAATGAGAGCAGTAATCTGAGAGTGAACCACTTTGCAAAACAAGTCCAACCGAGCCACATCCAAAATAATATGAACTCCCAAATGGAGAGAGGGAAAACGAAGATGCAGATGTCTGGATTTCATGGAGATGGCTTCTCTGTGAGGCAACAAGGCAACATAACAGAGGGACGTATACAGCCTCTCTCACCATACCCACACTTTAACTTACAGGGGAACATGCAGTCTGCTAGACCTGATAGAGAGAAGAACACGTCCGGCGCAGGGCATGCACCACATTTCATACCTTTAATGTATCCGGTAAATGACCCCAGGAGGTGCTCTGGCATTCCCATGAGCTCAAACTTCATCTCTAGATCTACAGTGCCCTATGGAAATGGTGTCTCAGGCATGAATGTAAACGAGATGATGCCGACTAACGAGGCTGCAGCTTTTAGCTCCAGTGTCAGTAACACAAAGGCCCACAGAGCAGGGAACACCTTTGGCATGGCACCAGCTTTGGCATCCTCACTAATGAGTCAGGGAGGGCCAGCAGTCCAGCTCTACGTCTCCCTGGATGACTGCTATGAACAGTGGAGGTGTTTGGAGAAGGGAAGGAAGAAGGTATGATCTTCACCTGCACTTGTCTTTATTACATCTATCTGTCAATAAAACACGTAGCTTTATTTGATTTTTTACATTTTTAGTCTTAACAACCATACACACTGGGCACATCATACAAAGTATACATGGTTATGCATTCCATAAATCATTTTTAATTGTGTTCTAATATTCTAAACTTAAATTATTAATATTTACATTATGTGGTTGTCCTTTGTTTGTTTTAGATGGAGATCTTTCTTAAAAAGAACTTTCCTGGGAAAAAAACCTTAATAACGACTAGCAACAGCCTTCCCGAATATCCACCAAACCCCACAAGAGTGGACCACCTGGTTATCAATCTGATGAGAGAACAAATAAAGGTGAAACCCTCACTATACTTGTTCTATACCGCCACCTATGGGTGAAGTAATCAGGAAATAATTGAAGTTTTATTAGTTAAAATAAATTCTGTGTGTGGAAAACCTGACCGTTTGACATAAAGGACAACAACAGTTATTGAAGTGGGGTTTAGATAAATGCTTTCATTTTAAATAATTCAAGTAAATAGTTTTCATCATTGCTGGAAAAGGCACAAGGACAATATTATCTAGGATTTCATATGCACTGTGTAAATGCTACCCTGTCATATAAAGAAATGTATTTGTAAGTCTGCATAGGACAGACACTGATTGTGTTGATGTGCTGCAGGTGGAGAGCATTCTGGTTAGAATGAAGTGTCTGTGTAGCATCCCGCTACACATCAGCATCGAGATGGCGCTAAGAAATCACTACGTGGCTCTTTGCATCACACAGGCCAGATGCAAGGAGGGCAGTGACAAGTGGACCAAAATCCAGCAGCAGGGAGTTGGTTTCACTGAGGACAGAGGTAATCATTATCAGACTTTTATTGTAGGCTCTCCAGATTCTAGCATGCTTTTTAAAAACACATTTCTTTATCATTCATAGATAACCTGTTGTTGATCGCTGCGCTGAACGAGCTGGCTGCTACGACCAGGAGGCTTTGCACAGCTCTGTGGTGCACCCTGCAGATGACCATGCAGCCACCTGTCCTGGTGCAGGAACATCATGCTTGTGAGGAGCCCACATGCACTGAGAGGTGCTCCTCTCTGTTCCAGGGTTACACTTTTTGTTTATAAATGAGCTTTATTCCAGCATGAGTTAAACATGCTCATGAGGTGAACAAAGTCAGTGTTCCAGACTTACTAATTTACATAAACATGACATTTTATCTTAAAAAAAAAAAACAGGGATCACTTGAAAGAAGTGAGATGCAGTTTAATGCTTGGAAATGACTGGATTGTTTACACCAGCAAGCATCTTTGCTTGTTTTGGAATGACATGAAATGCATTTTACAACCTGCTAAATGTTAACTTACTTTCACCGAAACAGTTTCAGCTTCAAATCAGCATAAATCTTGTCCCATGAAAGTTTTATTTAAGGACACTATTTATGTCGAAGATTCCCGGGAATTCTTCATTTTACTTATTTATTGGAACATAATAGAACTCAGTTCTATGTGTTCCCCAACAATGACTGAATCACAAAGGCAGTAGTTTCAAGTAACTAAACACTAAATTGTATCCCTTAATGTTCCAATCAATCCTTTTTACTTTTGCAACTTCAAGATTTTGTAATCAGAGGGTTCTTATCTGTGGTTCAGTTACAAATGTCCTAATAATACTCAAGTCTTCTGGGGGTGGGGGGGTCCGTTTATTTAAACGCAGTAATCAAACTTCCATTAAGTTAATGTTGTAAGATAATTTATCAGTGAAGGTTTTCCATTTAATGTGGTATTTTAAGTCTATTTAAAATTAAAACATTTCAGACCTTTTAAAATGAAAACAAATGTTTAGAAAACATAATTTTGTGTCTCCATTTCTAACATTCAGTCAAAACTTTGGATCCATCCATACTTTAAAAAGTTGTGAATGTTGAGGGCTTGCTGTGTTATCAGTGAATTGTGCGGGTTTATAATTGATCTTGCAGCTCTGAGTTTCTCTTTACTTGCGTCAGTGCCTTTTATTGCTATTGAGCTTTAGAAACTAAGCAGGTTTGTTCTGTTCCTGTAATTTTATTCTGGTTGTTTTCTTCTTTGTTCTGTAAACTGGGAGTAAAAAAATAAACACAAATGTCTGAAAATGGTTTTTTATTAGTCATTTTAAGAAAAACCTCAAACACTTATATGGTGGTGCACGTTATCTCTGAGGTATTTAACATCTTTTGTTAAGACACAATGTAAAGGAAGTGAAACAAAAACCAAAAGCTGTAAACAACTTGCCTTTAGACGTGAAAGTGAGGATTTTTAAGAGGTTGGCACAAAAAGTGAACAGGAAACACTAGACTGGATTGCGTTTTGTTTGACTTTTCCACAATAATCTAATTGTTTCGTCTGTTGCTTCGGTTATTTGAGGGCGAAGCTTTCACAACACACCATTGTTTAATAACAGAGTACAGTTAGCATCAATACGACTATTTGATCATGTTTTATAAAAACTCGCATCTTAATTCTGAGACGATAATCTGGGTCAAAGTGGAAAATTCACGTCGTCTTGCATGAAACTCGTTAACAAGGGTCTGACGAACATGATTTTCATACAAAGGCTTAGCTGTAAAGAGGTAACGTTTCTAGGTTTCATTCCTTTTTTGTTGTAGAAATAAAACAGATTTTGCATGTAAAGTGTCCTTTTTTGTGGTTTTATCTTTTGCGTTCCCCTTTCTGTGTACGCTTCTTCTCCTTTTCCTTCCTGTCTTGTTTGGCTAGTTTGTCCTTCTCCCGCTGCATCTTGTCCGTTTCTTTCTTCTTCTGAGCATCTTCACGAGCCTGGTCCCGCTTCTGCTTCTGCCGGGTGAGCACCTCTTCCACGTTTGTGTTTCTGAACAAGGCTGGCACCAGAAGTAAAGGACAACCACTTTAAAAATAAAAATGGTTCAATAGTTAGAACTGGGTAAACTGAGATATTAAAACAAGTGTGTAAACACAGTAACTTGAAAAAGGATACATCTTTCATTTCCAGGAAGGTCATTTCCAGTTGTTGGTTCTCCTTCAGCTTCCGTGCTTTTGTTAAGAAAACAGATCAAATCTCAACGAGACCTGCGTCTGCAAAAGGAGCCTCTGCCTGCATGGTCACAGACTTCCCAACAATGAAAAACCTGATGGGCTTATGTAATAAGTGTCGCATATAAAGTCAAGGATATTCCTCTTCATCTGTTATGTTTGCATATTGAGCAAGTAGGGCTTCTTTCCTTTTCTTGGACTCCTCGGACACCTCCTTCTGTTTCACCACAATCTGGGCTTGCTTCTCTATCATGGTGGCGATGGCCTGGACCTCAGCTAAATCAGAGAAAATAATTAACATCTATTAATATGATGACTTAATAGTTGTCACTGTATTGCAATAACCACCATTTTCTTCAAGTATATACAAATCAAATCACTTTTATTGTCACGTCACATGTGCAGGTACACTGGTACAGTACATGCGAGTGAAATTCTTGTGTGCAAGCTTCACAGCAACAGAGTTATGCAAAAATCCAGTAATGTAAAAACAAGTAAAATATAAAAATGTCTAATCTAAGTAATAATATGTATAAGTTGTAATGTATATACATTACTAAATGTTTATGCAAGTATATTATTATTTTTTTAATATATTGTTCTACGTGTGTGCGTGTGAATGTGTGAGTGTGTGTATAGTGTGTATATACGTGTTTTACAAATGAAAAAAGTAAACAATGGTTACAATGTTTCATTGGATACAATGGTTCATTTGGTGATTTAAAAACTTTCAACTGGGCAGAAAACTCAAAGTCGGGTAATGAGAGTTTAAAGGGGCATTATTATGGAAGTTTGACAGCCAAAACATGTATAGAAATAATACATTTCATCTTCATACATTCTCCTGCAATGCCCTGGTCCTGTAGAATGAGCCCTGGCATTTTTACTGTGATTGCCTGTTTTTCTCTAAAATCACAGAAAAAGAGATGCTCGGGTCGAGCAGGCTGCTTCATGCGCGTTCACGCTTAAGGCATAGTCCTCCGAACCGTTCTTTGAATGCTGTTTCAGCTGTCATCAAGAATATAAATGTTACAGACACAGAAAACCCCACTGGTGCTTAGCTTGCCTAGTAAAAGTTCAGGCTTTCGTGCGAAAGACCCAGGTTCGATTCTCGTTGTGATCATAGTTCATTTAGAGTTTCTTTCTTACATTAATGATATATTTTTTTGCAGTAAGATGCCCAAATTTTTAATTGAGACTCGCCGAACGGCTTTGAATTCACAGATATAAAAGATGTGGGTTCCACTTTCATTTTGGAACAATTTTTCAAGCAAGGGAAGGGAATGATCTGAGCATGCAGGGAGACTGAACCATCATAAACCTTTGTCGGCTGTGCTGAAGAGAAAGGTACAGAACCAAATTATTTAATTAATTAGCTGCACGTTCTCCTGTCCTCTGTCCTCCGGGCCACACACACACAGGACTGTCTCAGCTGTTATTTTCGTTAAGGAGTGTGCACGTGCAGCATGAACGCCTCGTGCTCGAGCTTACTATTGAAGCTGCCGTTACGCTTTTGGCCTGAGGGGGCAATCGCGAGCATAAAAATTCAAAACTCCGTAAAGTCCCTTTAAGATTAGATTTTTTTTTCAACAATTCACTGAAATCTTATGAGAATCCCAAGAGATTCTCCCAAATCTTACATCTTATATTAAATGTATAGGGAGCCTAAGTCACGTCCATCTGCTTCCTGGAAGAAGAAAAAATGAATGCAAGTCAGCGGGGCTAAAAACTATTTTCTAAATCCGTTTATGTGCCATGGATCTCACATATGATGTCTGTGAATTTTAAAGACACATTCTGATGCCAAGAAAGCACTTATTTTTGAACAGGGTCATACATTATGATTCAGGTTTTGTGTGAAAATGCATCCTGGACTACAAACGCGCATCACCAAATTTGACATGAACCAGGCACGGGGATAAGCAGAGGAAAAATGGCTGTAAGTTCAGGATGAAAGCATGTGGTAAGTAGCCGCTATGCTGGGGGAGAGGAGATTCAGTGTGACGTCATATATGCGACAAACAGACTTCTGACTTGTAGTCACAGTAATTATGAATTTTTTCAAGCTAATAAATCTCAAAGTACCGAACAGAAATGGTCAAAGCACAAATCATTACTTTCAATGATGAGTGGTGATAATTTACAAAATACTTTTGCTCCAAAAAATTATTTGACTTGTTTTATAACCGTACGCTATTTTCTAAACCCAATTTCAGTGTCAAATTCAAGCACTTTATTAAAACTATTTTAGGATTTCAAACCCTGATGATTCAGGAATTTAAAAATACCGGTATCTAAAGCACCAAGAAGAACCCCAACTACTGGAATATGTAAAGAGCAAAATGCTTTCATTACCATCGTCAGGATTTCGCCTCCCTGCGGACTTGCTGGAATACTCTGCCCACTGATCAATGATCTGCTTGCACACATCTCCCATGGCACCTTCATCCTGCACACACATTAGTAGTTAGTTACCAAGTCATAAGTTAAATAAACTCAAATCAGGGCATGCTTGTGCCATGGTAAGAAACAAGGTATAAAGCGACGTTTTAGTCCCTTACACACACATGGAGACTTATAGTCGCTGTTCATTAAATAACTGTAAAAACAACCATGTTTCTTCCAATATGCCCTTATTTAAATAAAAAATTCACGAACGAATCAGTAACATTGATTCATGTTATTCTACCAGGGACCTGTAAGGGTAAAAACCCTCAACCCAGGTGTGAAAAGCAACAAATTACAAGTTTAATTGTAGAACAGACAACTCTGTCAGCACCGACTTGTTTTGGTCGGTTGGTTAAACCCACAGATTGAAGCTAGGACCTAAAATAAGTACGCAGAACTAAGTTTGTAGCAGCAGAAGAAGCTCTCTGGATTTCACGAACCGTGGTCTAATAACCAGCTATGACTAGAGCATGTAAACCAGCTGACACAATAGTTCAACGCCCGGCGACAGCAGACAGGCAGCAGCAGATGTTGTTAAAGTGGAACCTCGCTCGGGATATTCACCAGAAATGCGGATAAAATTCCCTCCAGCGCATCGTTTTTCTCCTCGTCACTCTCTTCTTCTTGTAGGATTCCTAAAATGTAAGCTCCATAAACCTCACGGTCTACTTCTAACGAGTCCAGGCGATCATTTAGCCAGCTTTCAAACTCCCCGGTATCGCTCACCGGCGCCGCCATCTTGGCGCTTTGAGGTCTTTCGCGCGGCTCGTGGCTGCCCTATCCCTGCCTGTTTAAAATACAAGTTTTGTTTATTTATTTGTATTTGTTTATAGTGCTTTACCTTAGTAATAACTTTAATGAAGACGTGGTTTCATACATTTTATAGGCAATTCTATGAATTTTTTTCTATTTTGACGTTTTATTGTAAAGCACTGTGGTGACCTTAGGGCTGTTGATTTTAGTCACCTTTCATTGATTAATTTGGTTTAGTGATTTGTATGAAAACACCGGCCTATGTAAATGCAATCAGATAATTTTACATCCTATTTCTCAGTAATTCCTAACACAAATAGCTGTCACAAACAGGCTACCTAAAACAAACACTTACAGTATCAAGGGCAGTATTATGAAGGTTTTAAATGGTTTTCTTTGGACAAAGAATGCTTAACTTTTTATTTTTTATTTTGTACTAGTTTTGACAAATTATTTAAATTTATTGTTAGGCCTAAAATGATCAAAAATTTTTTACACTATCTTTCATCGTAGCTTATAATAAAAATTCCAATAAACTATCTTGTCTGTAAAATTGATCGTTGCTTTGCACATCTTTTTTGGTTTGTGATCTGTGCACTCTTTCAGGCACTCCTTTATATCCTTCAGCCTAGAACCTCAGCTATTTGGCAGTTAATGCAGTTCTGAGACGAGGTCCTGAGACTCCTCTGCCCTCTCTCGCTCTCTCATTGGGACCTGCAAGATGTTCACCAGCTATGACAAGGTTTGGAAACCACTTCAAATGGGATGTTGCTAAAAGCACTTGCTGATCAAATTATTGAACAATGTTTTGGTTCATTTACCCTTGCATACAGTAATGCAGATTTTTTTTGTACAAACATGTTCCACTGAAAATGTATTTTAAAAGGGTGGAAATGGCTCTACCAACATTTGCCAACCCACCGTCATTTCAGTAAAATCTGTGTTTCAATCAACTGAATCCTTGTTGAGCTTTTCTTTTCTGTGAGCATATCAGATTCTTTATGCTTTTTGTATTTATTATTGTTTTTGGTGAATTAGAAAATGCAGTCCCAAGAAAGTGTGTATTGGGGAAAACAGGAGAAATGATAAAAATTACAGTCGAGAGTTTTTGGAGTGTGCTTTATTGAACATAAGGTGTCGTTTTCTGCAGCAGCATTCCTGATGGATACGTGGAATCTGATATTAATCAGTTTCAACAACCTGACTCCGTAGGGACGATGCACGTTGTTCTGACATTAAACTATTTGTAAATCCATCATTCAAGTAGCTACCTCATTAGACTTGAATAAATCAAAGTCTGCGTTTTTAAGAACCAACGTTTTCAGGAGGAAGCCACTGAGCCAGCCGTCCTAAACCAGAATCATGTGTTTGAGAGGAGACTCAAGAGCAGCTCTTCTCACAAGATTTTTCAAGGACTGTGTTTTAGTGTAATAGAGAGCTGAACTCCTTTTTTAAACACAGCCTTCATTTAAAGGAAGCAAGTACTTGTGCTCTTTAAAGTGATCCTTATTCAAATTGTCCTTTCAGTAACGAGTGGTGACTGTTTGGTCTCAATTTAACAGAACCCCCGGCTGGACCAGGCCTGCACCGGGCTCAGCAGCACAGGACGCTTCACTTTTCCTGTTCCCTCCATGACAGCGGTGAGTCTGGTACGGCCTGAAAAGAAACCTCAACACTTCACTTAGAAACCGGTAGGTGCAGGAAATCAGATCCCATCTCGAAACAGTCCAAACCAAATGGAAATAAACAGTAAACAAAAATCTGCTAACTTGACATGGTTTTGGGGACAAGTTTAACCCAAGACATGCAGGATTCACCACTCACGAGTCAATTAGAAAAATTAAAGAAATTTATAAAAAATAAATAAAATTGGGAACTGAGGGCGCACTGGATAAGGTCCAGTGGGGATTGCAACGGAGCCGCAGCGTCTGAGGGGAGAGCAGAGGAACAGGTGAGTCCAGAGAGGTAAGTCTAAACTAGGAAGGTGCAGAGTAAAGACTTACGGGAAGCTGGGGCTGAGGAGTTAGGGGTAGGTGGAGTGCCGGGGTGAATCCAATGGGCCATTCCCATCTGTACCGGGTCGGCCCGGGCCGGGTAGCCCCAGTCGGCCCCAGCCTGGCCCGGTTGATTCCACACATCCTTGTCTTAAGCCCATGTGGGCTGATTCTACCCACCAATCAGAGGCTTGCTCTAATGGAAGGTGTGAATTTGCTGTCAGCAGTGGGTGTGTTGGCCCTGGTCGGCCTGAAGTAGACCCCCTCGAGAAGAGGGCTGAGAATGAGCCTCGGTTGGCCCGGAAAAATACCAGGCCACCCAGATATGTAAACAACCTACGCTACCCGGCCCGGGCCGACCCGGTACAGTTGGGAATGGCCCACAAGACTGCGCTGCGAACCCCTCTACAGATCTTCAGCTCACTGTCCACCGTGTGTGCTCCGAGCCGCGCTGAGCACAGTGTCCAGTGTAAAGTTCTGATGTTCTGATGGGAATTATTTCTTGAAATCCCTGAACAGTCAAGCTCCTCCATATCTGTGTCAACTCGTCCATTACTACAATCCGCCTCGTGCTCTCAGGTCTGAAGATAAGCTCCTCCTAGCTCTTCCAAACGCATGTCTGAAAAGCCGTGGAGAAAGGGCTTTCTCTGTCTGTGCTCCCAAGCTGTGGAATGCATTACCACTACTAGTGAGGCAAGCACCAACAATTAGCATTTTTAAATCTCGCATGAAAACTCACTACTTCAACCTTGCATATAATACATAGTCATGGACCACTTTCGACATCTGCATTCTTTCTACAATAGAATGAACTATAATTAACATCTGTATTACTGTGGTTCTTTCATATGTTTTTATCTGTTGTTTCACATTCCTTTTGTGTTTTTAGTGTTTTACGACTGTTAGTTCTAGTATTTTCTTGTTTTCATTTTTTTCTTATAAACTATGCTTTAAATGTCATTCTGTACATGTTAATTAACTGTAATCTTTTAATGTACAGCGCCTTGTCTGGTTGTAATGCCATGTTGAATGCGCTTTATAAATAAAATGGTATGGTATGGTATGGTTGATTGATTTAGTTACCTCCGCGATGTGCGTTAACAATTAAAATGTCAGCTCATCTGTGTGCGCATCAGTGTGTGTCGGGGTAATTCTTTCAAAACAACCAACATCCTTGAGGTTATCCGTCAAAATAAACAGTCAAATGGAAATATCTGTAACCTGCCATTTAACTGTTTTGCCTTCTTGTGAAGATTGTTGCAAAGAGAAACAACTAAACTTGATTAACCCCAGAGCCACGCGCACTGCGCTGTACTTCCTGACTGTAAATGAGGGGAAAACGATTTAATCGGATCCTTTTCTTTTCAACATGGTTTAATGTAAAGTTTCATTCAGTACAAACTTTAGTTGCACCAATCTAACGAGACAGAGCCTGGATTTGTATTCTGAACAGTTTAAATGTTTAAAACTGAGACGTCTAAAATTCGCACCTGCTCCGCTATTATGGAAATTAAACTAACAAGATAACATAAAATTATTTTAGGCACAGACAACATCCCCCACACTTTTGAAAATCTTGCAACGCGCCTGCAAGAGAGGGGGCGCGAGGAGAGCAGGAGAGCTGGCCGGCATGTTGGAGAGGAGAACGGTGAATGCTGCGTCAGGAGATTTGTGGGGCACAGGCGAGTAATCCAGCGGGATCGTGGAAATGTCCAAGTAGTCAATCAGAGGAGCCACTGGAAAACCAGAGAAGCTCCAGAAGCTTCAGAAGTCCAAGGAGATCCTGAGGAGTCAAGGCAAGGTTCACAAACGATCCAAAAATCCTGGGAACAGGTAAGCACAAGTATATCCACGAAGGTTCTAAAATCCAAAAATCACTAGAGTTAACCTGGAGACACAAAGGGCTGGAACTACCAAGTTGTTGTTAATCATCCGGCGTCGAGATGTGTTCTCCTCCTCCTCTTATAGCTGGACCCGCTGATTGTTAATGAGCTGCAGCTGGAGCCTCCCTCTCCTGCAACACAGCAGCTCAAAGATGGAACAAAAATGAGAGCAGCACTCACCCCGGCACATGACATAACTGTCACTAACTCGTGCATCTAGACCTGAAGTCAGTAGTCACATCTCAACATGCAGCAGTTCAGGGCTGTAACATGCAGATAGTTTCACTGTCAGCTGTTTATGATCGAATTTTTAAAATGTTTTTGTGGTGACAGCGTTTTAAAAATGCAAATTCCTTTCTAAGAGAGTGAGCAAGCCAACCCCGGTGGTTTAATGTGTTTTTGTGTTCAGCACTTTGAGTCATTCATTTTGTTTACAGACTCCAGTTGTTTATTTTATTGTTGAAGTGTCATTTAATCATCTGACCTACCTGGTAGAACAAATGTCAGTTCATACACGTATTATTATTATTATTATTATTATTATTATTATTATTATTATTAAATAACGCTTCAAAATGGACACGAGGAGTAAAATGTTAGGAAATGAAAATAAATTCTTAAACCATGGGTTGGTTGAATAAATAATAATAACAATAATAATAATAATTGTTATTATTATTAATTAATACTACTACTACTAATAATAATAATTATCATTATTATAATTTATTGTTATTATTATTATTATTATTATTATTATTATTATTATTATTATTAAATAATGCTTCAAAATGGACACGAGGAATAAATGTTAGGAAATGAAAATAAATTCTTAAACCATGGGTTGGTTGAATAAATAATAATAACAATAATACTAATTATTATTATTATTAATTAATACTACTACTACTAATAATAATTATTATCATTATTATAATTTATTATTATTATTATTATTATTATTATTATTATTATTAATGTGTACCTTATGGCCAGCAGGGGTCGCTCTTCACTTCTGCTTCCCATCTAGGTTTTTATTGCTCTGAAACATCCAGGAGTTAACATATAAGACAAATTGCAGCCTGTCTTTCATAAAAAAAAGTACTGGCCACCTGTGCTCAGTTAATTTCCATAAAATT